TCTGAATATATATATCCACTACCAAATGAGGCGGACTGGGAAATTCCCGATAATGTGCGATCAAGAAAGGTGATACGACCGTTGACACGAAGAGGAAGTTGACGTCTACCAAAAAAGAGAAAACAATCATCTGGAGAGCTGTGCAAGTCTCGTAAGTGTAGTTGTTGTTTGAAAATGGGGTATAACCGTATCACTTGTAAAGATAGTGTACCACTCAACGAGAGACATGAAGGACGAAGACAATACGGTACATATGCGACTTTTGTAGTGTTACGATGTACTGCTTTTGTAATAGTGAAAAATGATGGTGGTGTTATGTTTTGATGTACTACTTTTGTCATTTTGAAAAGAAAACTATTTATAATGTTTAGAACAGTTGATTTTGTTATTGTCTTAGAGTTGACGAAGCCATAACGGCAGTTATACTATTTTTTTTGTTACAATAAAACATCAATGGTATTATACTACACTTGTCTCGTTTTCAAAACAGTAACGACACTTGTGTTGTTCTATTTTTTCATGTTAATTAAGTGATGAACATATCTCCCGAATGTTGTAAACGACACGTCCATCCTACAACTTAAATTAGTTCAACTTATTGATTATCGTGGCTTGGATGGGTCGTGACTACTTATACTCATGTTTACAGACATAACAACACAAAGGTCCTTAAACGGCACTTGTGCCACTTTGTTGATTTCTCTACTATTTTGCTACTTTTCCAGCTCAACGAACTCAAGCAATATCCAGTAGTGCAATCACAAGTCATGATCTACATTCGTTAGAAAATATAAGTAATGAGCATATATCTCGAATGTTATAAACATCATCTCCATCCTGCAACTTTAATGAGTTCAGTTTATCGATTATCGGGGCTCAGAAGGGTCGTGGCTGCTTATACTCATGTTTATGGACAGAACCGTACAAGTGTTGTTTATCGGCACTTGTGTCGTTCTGTTGATTTCTCTAATATTTTGCTTCTTTTCTAATGCAATGAACTCAAACATTGGATCTTCTAACTTAAGAAAGTCTGAAATGTTGATTATGTCACAAATAACGGTAGAATTGACATACATTATATGATATCCAGTGGTGAAATCACAAGTCATGATCTACATTCGTTAGAAAATATAAGTAATGAGCATATCTTTCGAACGTTGTAAACGTTATCTCCGTCCTGCAACTTTAATGAGTTCAGCTTATCAATTATCGGGCTCGGACGGGTCGTGGTTACTTATACTCATGTTTATGGACAGAATGGCACAAGTGTCATTCATCAGCACTTGTGTCATTCTGTTGATTTCTCTAATATTTTGCTTCTTTTCCAATGCAAAGAACTTAAGTATTAGACCTCTTAACTTAAGAAAGTATGAAATGTTGATTATGTGACAAATAACGATAGAATTGACATACATTATATGATATGCAGTGGTGAAATCACAAGTCATGAGCTACATTCGTTAGAAAATATAAGTAATGAGCACATCTCTCAAATGTTGGAAACAGCACGTCCATCCGACAACTTTAATGAGTTCAGCTTATCGATTATCGGGGCTCGGACTGGTCGTGGCTGCTTATACTCATGTTTATGGATAGAACGGCACAAGTTTCGTTTATCGGCACTTGTGTCGTTATGTTGATTTATCCAATATTTTGCTTTTTTTCCAGTGCAACAAACCTAAGTATTGGACCCCCTAACTTAAAAAAGTCTAAAATGTTCATTATGTGATAAGTAAAGGTAGAATTGACATACAATATATGATATCTAGTGGTGAAATTACAAGTCATAGCTACATTTCGTTAGAAAATATAAGTAATGAGCACATCTCTCAAATGTTGTAAATGGCATGTCTATCGTGCAATTTTAATGAGTTCAACTTATCGATTATCGGGGCTCGAATGGGTCATATCTGCTTATACTCATGTTTATGGACCGAACGACACAAGTGTCGTTTAACGGCATTTGTGCCGTTCTGTTCATTTCTCCAATTTTTTGCTTCTTTTTCAATGTGACGAACTCAAGCATTGGACCCCCTAACTTAAGAAAGTCTGAAATGTTGATTATGTGAGCCAATGGCAAGTCTTCTAAAATGGATACCTCCTGATTGGCTTCCTAGATCAAATCAGCTAGTGGCTTTGCTAGTGATGAATTGTTCTTTGTTAAAGAAAATGGTAATGAATCTTGTTTTCCTAGTAGGACCTATACATCTAATCGGTATACATAATCATCAATATCATTGGGGAAATCAAAGTTGATAACGTGAGCAACATGAGGAATATCAAGACCACGATATGCTATACGAGTTGCAACCAAAATCAGTGTCTTTACACTCTTAAGCAATCTCAATGCTAGTTCTCTTTCTTGGAACAGCAGGTAAATGAATGTCAAATCAAGTAATAATCAATGTATTCGTAATGAAACAATAATTGCGCAACTAAAGAATAAAAAGATTCAATAAAGTCAAGGGGATACACAATCTTTTAAGTTGCCAACTTACAATACATTGTTTAGTAGGTTAGGATCCATTCTATAAATAAGAGTACTATAGTAAAAACAGCAAAACATAATACGAAGAAATTCTGAAATCAGCAAGTGTAAAATCCAATAATAGGACTCCTAGAAAATCATGAAATACAGTAAAGCATAATATGAACAATTTTACTAAAAATCGCCAAATTACTTGAATCACATTACCCATAGTGTAGCTCTCTAACTCTCGGGGCATATCAAAGAACAAGCAAATTTGAATATCAAAATTTCCATTTATAGAAATGCTAATAAATAAATTTATTTTTAATTCATCATCTTCAAAACCCCAAATGTATCAAAAATCCATCTACATTAAAAAAAACTGAACTGGAACTAAACTAATGGTGTGTTTGAGCTGGATTATTTTGAAAAAATGTATTTTGAAATCATAGATTGATGGAGAATGTGTGGTTGAAAATGAATAGAAGAATGAGAATGAAAATTTTAATGTGACTCAAATAGGGGCTAAATATACAAATAAACTATGAAACCATAAAAAATACACTTTTACACTTTTTTTCATTCTAAACTTACACCAATGGAAGCACAAAATCTCATTTCAAAATGAAAAAAATTGAAGGAAACATCACCTTTTTTGTTATATTAGCTTGTACGGAAGAGAGATGAAGTAATATGATATAAACTTGAATCAAAGAAGTTTTTTGTAATCTTGAAATGTATTAAAAGTTAAGGCGAAGAACACAGTTTTAAAATTCAAATTTGGGGAATAGGGTTTCATAGT